TTGAATGAGGATGTGCCGAATGAGTGTCCGGCATGCGGAGAGACCCCACATGACTCGAAACATCTCTTCGCATGCCCGGAAAACCGGACAACCCTAACGGCCTTGTCCCTGTGGACAAACCCCACAGAAGCTGCACGCTTCCTAGGGCTGCCGTTAGTGGAACTTGACGACAACGACTGAGATACCAACCGTCCTGGGCGGGGTTGTTGTATCCGCTACAACAACAACAACAACAACCTCGATACTCAACCTTCATGTTCTTCGGGACGTTCAAGCGGAAGGACAACTAAGCGACGCGCCGATGCTGAACTGAAGGATACTTTTGCCAAAGCAATGGAGGAATGCGTTGCCTCAATATCTGACCTTGCCAAAGTGCCACGAAAAATGCAAAATTCATTGGGCCACAAATCTGCATACTCGGAAAAGTTCTAAAAAATCTGATTAAAAAGTCGAAAATTTTCATGAAAAGTTGCTGAATTTTCGCGAGTTTTGCACAAAGTTTAGGAATTATATTTTTACGTTTTTTGTTGTAGAATTAACCATATTTGTATACGAAATTAGCGGAAAAATGTTAGAATGAAAATTGTTGCATATATTGTGAAACATTTGCTGTGCCAATACTTTGTTCCGGCAGTGTAGTTATTGCCTTATTTATAAAAATTAGTAAATTTTGATGTACCGCCCGTTACAAAACGATAATGATAATGGTCATTAATTTTCTCCAAATATTTTTTTGTTGACCGTATTATGCACTTTCTTCCATGTGATACGGTCAAAATAAAAGTTATCTCAAAATCACCGGCTGTAATTACATATTTATTTGTCCAGAAGTTGATGAATATGTAATAAATTGAATTTGAAGTTAAATTAAATTTTAAAGCAAATAGAAAAGAAATAAAATAGAATTTTAATAAAATTTATAGCACAGTGGTAAAAGTTCCAACACTGAAGACACGTTTAGCAACAAATCAGATGCGGCGTCCTGTTTAAATTAAATATATTAAGTATTATCGCAACTTTAATAAAGGGGAATAGTTAATCTTACCTCAATTATTAAACAGTATATCGGCCAGTGCGTCTCTGCTCCTAAATGCATCTGCACATGACCGATTCGCTAGTGCGATTCTGCAGGAAGGCAGCCCAGCGTGGGATTCCCTCCAAGTCCCTGGCACATGAACACCATTTTCCAGGTGGTCCACGAGCTCGTCATTGAAATATCCACTCTCCCTATCGAGCATTAGATAATTATGCAGTACAATTGTCGCTAACACGATTTTATCCACATTGTTTGGTGCTCCGTGAATATTCGTGTGTAGAACTCTCCACCTGCTAATCAAAATTCCAAATGAATTTTCAATATGCACACGAGGACGAGATAATTTTTTGTTGAAGTTGTCCTTTATAGCTGATAAGTTCCGGCCAGGATATGGACGCATCAAGTTGTGCTTCAGTGGGAATGCATTATCTCCCACGAAATAATATTGGAAAGTTGTTTCTGTTCCTAAAATATTGAAAAATATAATTAACAATAATTTACAAATATATGTACATATGTATATGTTTAAGAAAAATTATAATTACCAGGAATTGCATTATCTGGCGGAATATTAAGGTATCCTCTTAAAATCAATTTTCCAAATGCACTACGTGAAAAAATTCCACCATCACTCTCGCTTCCCATCGCACCCACGTCCACACAAGTAAACGTGTAGTTGGAATCGCAGGCTGCCATTAGAACGATACTATACGTTTTTTTATAATTGTAAAACAACGATCCGCTGCGTGCTGGACAAACTATTTTTATATGCTTGCCATCGACCGCTCCAACACAATTTGACATTCCCGTTTTCAAGTAAAACCTTTACGAAGACAAAAAATTCAATTTCAACACGGAAACATAGATGGTCACTACAAACCTGTCTGATATTTTTTTCCATTCATGCTCATTGGGCTGAGCGACGTAGACGTCAGGCAGTTCTGTACATAAGGCATTGCAAGTATCGTAAATTGTCTCCCTTACTGTCAATACCCCGATTTTGTGCGACCAGGCGAGATATTGTGGGCTGCGTTAAGTAGCTAAACTGAGACATATTGTTATTGAACCATTTCGTTGCATTTGTGACTAAATTTTTTTACATCAGTGTCAGTGCCAAGCGAGTTTCTTCATTTATTGGCGCTCTTCTCGAAAAACGCGCGAGTCTCTCGTTTATCAAAGTCAAAAGAGTTTGAAATTTGGGAAAACTCATCCTAGTGGCTTTGAAAAAGTGCTCCTCGTCCTCCAGCTTCAGTTGTTGAAAACATGTTCCATGGAACCCAAACTCATTGCTGGTGAGGTTCGCAGGACGCACCCACCACCTCCTTTTCAACCACTTGCTCGCCTCCATGTACATCTCGTACATTGTGCTCATTATGTACATAATTTTAATTATCCGCAAAAGTCTTTGAATATTGGACATTTTTGCACGTACACACAAACGAAAAGCAAACGAAAAGATTGTACTACAAAATTGATTTTATTGTTAAACCACAAAATGTCAACTAAAAACCGTTCCGTCGCAATTGTGTTTACCCGTCCGAATTTTCCCTCCTGGAATGGGTCAGCTGTTCGCCACCCGTCAGCCCGTAACCCGCTATCCACTGCAATTCTGTTTAGGGCATGACGCATTTGGGCTCAATGTAAATGTAGTATTTGGCTTCCCCACGGGACTTTTGATTGACATGGTAAAATTTTTCAACCGGAGTTATACTAGGTTCACATATAAGTAGATTATCCTCATTTTCGAGCTTAAATCCCTAATCTGTAATTAGAACAAGTAATTTTTAGAAAAAAAAAACAAAAATCAACTCTCATATAAAAAAAAAATATATATATATATATATATCTCATGATCCACTGATCGGATCTTAACCAGATTAGTATGGGACCACCTCTGAGACACTACCTTTATCGAAATCGGTTGACCTGGTCCAAAGTTATGCAGTAACATACAGACTTCCTTTTTTGGAAGTCGGTTAAAAAGAGATTAGCCATACAAAATTCGTCCCTTGTTAATCTGTAATTATAAAATAATCTCAGATTTAACCGATAACTTTTCGGTGTCCAATCTGCTTTTGTCGATTATTTTTGCGAAGAAGAGGAGAAATGCCAAATGTAAAAGTAAACAAAAATGGACGCTCACAAAATAAATATTGAGTTAAAACATATTTAAATTGCTTTATATTGCAGAAAAAAGTGATCACGGTGGCACAGAGAAGAAACATAACCTTTCCGTGAGATGTGAGAATAACAAGCACAAAAAATTTTACGGATAATAATCTGAGATTTGCCGGGGTGATTAAAACACGAGCTTTGACCGAGATAATATTTATATGTGAACATACTTTTAATCGTGAATTATTTATGTAAATGGCCGTGAATAAATCCCCAAAGGATGGTCACGCCATATAATCACCATAAAATATCTCCGTATCGCATGGAGGAAGATTAAGGCTTGGCCGTGGTGTTAGCACAGGCTCACGGTTTATGGGGTTAAACGTTGCAGAGCTTGGCTGAGCAAAACTTAAATTATGGATGGTTTCACCCATCAACGCCGTACTCATGGCCGCAACACCCGTATTGTCTTCAGACAAACTCCGCGAATAATTATCGAAAGAATTGTTGACTTTTGCCCACAGTGCCTTAAGCTCCTCCTTCTGTATCTCAAGCGAAAAAACAGAGTGATTTGCTCCTGGAGTCTGATTAAACCGCTCTCCAAACTCTATTAATGTATCACAAGCGCGAGAAAAATCACTACCATTTGCCATTTTTAGAGATAAAGGTTTTTTTTATTACAAGCTTTTATTTAACTTCACTTGTATGTATGTATGTATGTATGTCCTGGAACTTTGCAATCAATATTTAACAAATTTCCCGATGAGCTACAGACTTGAAACTTCAAACTTAGTTCAGAACTCGAGGACAATGCAATATAAAAGACACCTTAATCCGCTGGGCGGCGCAGGAGTCGAGATATTTGTAAAACCCGCATTTATAGTCTGATTTGGTTCATATTTACTTATATGAAAAGGAATGAATCCGAAAAAAATTTTGCCTCTAGGTGGCGCAGAAGTCGAGATATTTGTAAAACCCGTATTTATAGTCTGATTTGGTTCATATTTAGAACATGTATTACTTGTATGAAAATAAATAAATCCACAAACAATTTTGCCGATAGATGGCGCTGGAGTCGATATATTTGGAAAATCCGTATTTATTTTATGATCCGATTAAGTTCACATTTAGAATGCATATTCCTTACATGAAAATAAATAAGTACACAAAAAATTTTGGCAGTTATGTGGCGCGTGAGCCTATATAATTAAAAAATCGGCATCTGTGTTCCTATTTGGTTTATATTCAAAATATGTGTACTACCTATTTAAATTGAAATATATTGAAAATTTTGTTTGTTAAGGTCAAGTCTAGCACGTTAAGTAAAAAGTGTAGCTAAAACGCAGGGTGCGGAAAATTTTGGTCGCATTGAAAGAAATGGGCAGAATGAGAAATATACAGACAGTATAATATTAATTGCAAGACTTCAAAGACTAAAAAGTAGAAAATAAAATTATGGTTAAAAAACTAAACACACGCTTTTATTACAACAAGAACTAAAAAGTATACAATAATTTATAGATATAGCGATTCCGTTTAAGAAGAATAGGAAGTTCCCTAA